TGTGTGTGTGTGCTGGCTCAGTTTAGTCTCTGACCATTATTTCAGAGGCTTATTACAAGCTTTCCTTTGTATTTTGTGGTCTCTTTATATTTGTGGTCATTACTCAGATTTCCTAATGCCAGTGGTGCATTCATTCTAAACAAATGACAGCAAGATTGGATTCAAAGGTAATCTGGGTTATGGATGGAAAACTATTGTCTCCATTGCCTGTTTTTTAAGGCCAGCATTTTGCTCTAAAGCCCTCTTTGTTTAAGGTTCATTACTAAGGCTCATACTTTTGTCTGAGTTCATATCAAGGCTTGTAGGAGTCTGCTCTGTCATTTCACTGTCTGTCATCATAGGCCTTGGCTAACGATGCAGATTGAAAGATGGTGCTTAAAAGCCACTTCCTAAGGACAAAAATGATGCACCACACACAAACTTGGTTGGAGATCCTTTTCTGTTACAATGGAAAGTGTAAAGCAGCCCAGTGCTTTGGTGGCCCAGAAGGAGGGAACTCTCAGCTGCAGTCACAATTGCCTTTTCCCATGGGGACTCAATAAATTAGGGCCATTTTATTTTCACCCTATGGCTCATCTGGTCTTTGCTACAGTGTACTCTTGTTTGCTTGGCTTGTTCACTGGCTGACGGAGAGAAACAGCCTAAAGAGCTGTGATGTAATTTCATTGTAAAGAGTATAACAATCTTTGGATGTTGGGGTCATCTAGTTTTCATCTAGTTTGTTTTCACCTGTCTGGTTCCCCTCCTCCTTGCACAAGGTTGTATTTGTCAATATGGTCTCCTGTCCTTACTACCCTCTATGTTTGCCACAGCTGCTGGCAACATGCGTGTCAGACAGCCAGACACAACACCAGCAAGGGTTAGAACTTGTGATGGCTGCATGCACAGTACTGGTTCTTGCCCATGTTTGCTTGTGCTGACCATGGTATAGTCCTGGTCCTGGTTGGCTGACTTTGCTGGGTCTTGTTGCCAGGCCAGGTTCTCCAGCTCCACCCCATCCCAGTTAGTAAATTTGTCAGCCTGGCTCTGGGTAATAGGAACACAGGGGGGCAGCTGCCACATGACATCAGTGTCTGTTGAATGTATTCAAACGTGAAGACTCGCCCTGACCAGACCCTTTTGTTTTCACACACAGTTACTCCAATGTTACTGTTTGTTTATATACTCAAACACTGCTCTTTAGGAATGATCAAAACTGCTGGGTGTTTGGTGTAATAGATTATTGTTGTGCAATGACGTCTTCATTTCTTATGGGGGTTGGCAGCATGTTGGCCTGTGTTTCAGTGATGCATGCAGAATACCGATTACAGGATCGATATGATCTGAGCAGCTACTGAAATAAGGGCGGGATGGCAAATATATTAAATCTGCGATTTTAAATTTAATACTTTTTTGCAGTTTATTTTTACACAACAACAAATGTTCATCATGTTCTGGGCAGGATACCAGATATGTAAACTACTATATTAGTGGACAAATACAGCAGCTATTGTTGTTTTTTCTTTCAATTGCCTTATATCACTATATCATAGCCCTGATGAACTTATACCACCTTCTTACTCATTGTTATAGTTGTATGAATCAAATAGATGACTACAACCTAGAGACAAAATGATTTTTGCTAGGTTTTGGACAAAAAGTTCAAAATAGGTTTTAAAGCTGCATTTCCCACTTCCCTGTGATACAAGTTTTTGGTCATATTTCTACATTATCAGATTTGATGCATGAGAACAAAAGCTCCTAATTACTTCATAAGTTTCATCACCAAATGACAAGACGGTGAGAGGTTGTGTGAAGTCAGGGTGTGTGCTCATGGAGGGGCAGAAACAAATTTAACATCACAAGAGAGGAGAGTAGAAAAGAAATGTTTTGCATTTTGATGCAATTTAGGAACCCCCAACCTGTGATGTTAAGTAAAATAATCAAGTCCTCATTATACCGTATTTCCCGGACTACAAAGCGCACCTGAATATTAGCCGCACAAGCTAAAATCAGGGGAAAATTCTGTTTTGTACATACATTAGCCGCACCTGACTAAAAGCCGCAGGTGTTTCAATGTTGACTTATCATATGTAAGAGAATATGCACAAAGGGAATTGTCAGGAAAGAGATGGCTGTTTGGAGACACACCCCTTTTATTAATATTTTGAAAAACAAGTTATGGGTACATATTTGCATAACTTTTTAGGTATATGTACAAGTAGTGGTAATTACAAGTACGAAACATGTACTGTGCTTCATAAATGAGTAACAAATGTAGTACATAACAGTAACCTATAGCACACCAGAAAAATAGATTCGGACTACCTTTTAGGCTCAGGTGCAGTGACACGGCTTTAACAAGAAGAAAAGTCAGTCATTCACCACCATCTTTCTGTTCTTCCTGCGCACTAAAACCACCAAAGTCCTCTCCTCCAGTGTCGGATACGAACAGGCTCAGGATGGCTTCGTCATCCACTCTCAGCTTCTTTCCTTTGTTGTCGCTTACAAAACCAAAGAAATCCTCGTTGTCAGTGTCAGAGTCGAACACCCTCAGAAGGGCCGTGGCGGTGTCCTCCTCTCCATCATGCAGCAGTCCAGCCCTTCGAAATCCGTTGGTGATCATGGATGTTTTCACACTTTTCCACGCTGTCAGATTCCACCGGTGGAGTTGAGCATAACTTGCTTTTCGCAAGTTTATCGCCGCTCGTCATCCACGACTCCCGCTGAACACGTAGCGTTAATTTGAAGTTTGTTTTTCGCGCTACTTGTACAGCACTATGTTGCCTGGCGGATGGACATGTGACCAACATACCACTCTTGAACCCCGATACTGTGTGTCTGATCACATGCCCTTCCGCCAGGCAACGTAGTGCCGTACAACAGCGGAACAAACAAAACAAATCGTCTTACGATATGACAAAAATCATGGACAATCCATAGAAAAGCCGCACCTGACTAAAAGCTGCAGGGTTCAAAGCTTGTGCAAAAAGTAGCGGCTTATAGCCCGACAATTACGGTAATTAAAATTTCCTCAAGTCTGTGGTTTGTTTTTTTTTTTTTTTTTTTTTTTGTAATCAGTATTCAGGCACACATTTTTTACAGTCAATATAGTAATAAATTAGTCATTTATATTGGTTATCTCCGCAAAAATTCTCTTATTCTTGACCTTTGGAAAAGAAATTGGAAAAGAAAGCCTGCATCTGATGTTTTCTAAACTTACAGCTTTATACATGATAAGTCTATTGTGTCGATTGTTTATTAAGGAATTATTCTTTCCTTAAAATTTTATTGAATTTACATTCTTCTCAAAGGCTCTGTACATATGTACCCTGCCTGCTTTTACAGTTCATCTTTTGCGCTTGGTACTTCATCATCCACTAAACCAGTTGCTAGAAGCTATCCACCATCCAGTTTTTGTGAATAGGAGATTGCTGACGAGTGGCTCCCTTTATCCTGTCAGTCAGTGCAGAGGCTAAGAACACAACACACACACACACACACACACAGCTCATGCCGTATTACTGGGGCTCAGACAGCGTTAAGAACAGATTTTACAGAACAGGGTCATTTCAATCATGTCCCGGTTCTGTTTTGAATTTGGACAGGTTTGCACATGCCTTTACACCCATTTTATTCCTGTGTCTGGTTTACCTTACAGTAAAAATGTAGTTTGTGCATGCCTCGAGAGAGCCGCTTTGTCTCATGCCCATATATGGCTGTGGTTTCTGTTTTTGAGAATGACTTCATATTCAAAGCAACAGAATTGTCTCTGTAGGTCAACTGGGTTTTTTTGTGGGTTTCGGGGGGGGGGGGCTTTTGTGCTGCAGCACTGTTGAATTAATGCTGGCAAAGTCCACAGTGTCACCTGAGGAGTCTCACTGAGGTCTTGGCTTATCAAGGATCTGTTTCCCTGATACGCTCCTGAGGAAATGCTTTGTAATTTGCAATTACAAAAGTTCATGTTTGCTACAAGTAAACTAATAGTGGTATAGTACAAATATTACATGGAAAGCACTGGGCTTTGTCACATTATTGTAGCCTGTAGATGAGGCAGTCAGAGCTGTGGCTGCTTTTTCATGTAGTATTTTGTATGTTATCTTAACCAGCTTTTGTATGTCTTCAGTCCATGTATAGTTTGATCTAGTGTTAACCTCACATACTGCTTCAGGATGTTTCCTGTATTTTGGGCACTGACTTCCCCCTCAAACACTCTCTCCATTGCAGACCATATTCCAGAGGACTTAAGGGACCCGTTCTATACAGACCAGTATGACCAGGAACACATCAAGCCACCTGTCATTCGTCTGCTGCTGTCCTGTGAGCTTTACTGCCGTGTGTGTGCCCTCATCCTCAAAACTGAGCAGGCAGCGTCTCTTCAGTCCCACATGTCTGTCATCCAAGCTCTGTCCAGGAAGGGCATTTATGTGGTGGAGAGTGATGACACACCCGTTACAGAGGGGGACCTGGCCTGTATGCCGATCAAAATGGTGAGTCCAAAATCCTCTCAAATTTTGCAGTATTTTGTGGCAATAACACCTAATATTGTCACCTGCCTGTCTAGTGAGTCTCCTGTCCAGTCGATGGACAGTTAGTAGTACTTGTTCTGCTTTGACACATGGTAAACTGGTGTAGCAGTACATAAGGAAGGCCTCACCCTGCTGCATGTTCTTGTTAGATTGGCCCTCCACCTTGTGGTAGATCTCCAAAGCCTAAAGTAAACTATCTTCTCTCCTGAAAGCCAGTAAGGAAACATGAAATCGGAAGGGCAGGGGCTAGCAGGTTAGTGATGAATGAATTTGTGGAAAAATAAGTTTGGGAGCTGATTTGTTATTTTCACATGTAGCTGCTGCTTGGGTTTGAAATTAAAACGTACTATAATACTGGTATGTTAATGCTTTTATTGATCAGCTGACACATGCAGTCTCATATAGGCCGTGAAACTGTAATAGCAATTACAAAGTGTATCTCAGCAGCACAGATTGTCTATCAGGGGATGAGCTCTTCCTGCTTCAGATGCATTATCTTTCTTCAGTGAAGTCAGTGAAAGTTAGTAGTCCGTTTATTATTATCCAGCGATACCAGCAAACCTAAAAACATCTGTCAGTGCACATAAAACCAAAAACATTTGCAGATTCTTTACATTATCCACTTTGTAAAGAGTTTTAAGCATGCTTTGCTTTAGTACAGTGTCCAGAATATTTGAATATTTCCTGCATCATATCTATTCAAATGGATAAGTGACATTTGACTGCTTGCATGCAAGGTGTGTATGGGGTTACCGTGAAAGGTGTGGGTGTGATTTTTTTTTTTCCCTCCCCCCCCCCTTCATTGTGCAAAGGTGTTGTTGTGGCTAAACTCTTCAGTTAATTTAATTAACACAAACACTTATTTCATACTATATATGCTTTTGTAATGAGTCTTTTTCCACTACTTACAGGTTACTCATATCTTTACTAACAGTTTGCTCTTTTTACACAAGTTAAAAGATAAACATCATTGTGATGTTAAAAGATGATACCACAGTATCAGATAAACCACCGTGTGTTTTTTATGTAAATACAACAGGAGGCAGAGGTTAGTTGTCAGTAATTATTATTACTGATGAGCTTACTCTTTTCTACTGGTTGTTATTGATAACACTGTAGATATTTTGGTTACTAAATCTGAAAGAAGTTGGTTATTTTAGAATTATCCAAAAGCAGAGTTGGGCATAATCAAATTAATAATTTGGCCAAATCCCGCACCAGTGCAACAGTGTCAGACACTGCAATTTTAATCACAGTTTAATTGGCACTCCTGCACAGTGTAATCCTGCAACTCTTTGGTCATTGAATTGGCCACTAGTTTAACACAAAGGTCCCCATTCACTTCTTAACTGACAATACATATAAATATGTTTATTTAAATAATATGGCTACAACTTGTGTTGATAAAAGCAGAGTGAAGCAGCACCAGTTTAAACATTTTCAAATATGAAATTCCACCATCGGTATAAATGAATAATTTGCACTGGTTACATTGTTTTGTTTTTTAATTTTATTTGAATCATTCTAAAGTATACCTGGAAATATAGAAGTTAGAGATAATTCTGGTCTTCGAAACAGAAATTGACATTAGGTAATCTTTGTCAATAACCAACACTAACTGATGCAGTTATCTCATATTCAGTAAATTTGTGGCCTTGTGTATGTTCAGTGTCGAGGTTAAAAATCAGCTTTGATTAACGTATTTTTAATGCGCTGCTTTTTTAGTGGCCTCTAAACACTTTATATATTCTCTGAGGAAGAAATGCATTCCTTACATGCAAACTTTTGAGGTAGGCCTTTCTAATACCTCTGAATGAAGCATGCTGTAAAATTTGTAATGTATTTGTTTGCTGAGAGGTCATTTGACTCTTACTCCATACACAAATCCTAAATTAGAAAGCCTGGGTTAACAGGTAAAGTCAATGACCTCTACTGCGATACTCGTTATCTAGGAAAGCAGTTTTAGGTTTTGGTGATCCAGCTAACACAAAAAAGCCTGGCTATGGTGAATTTGATTTGTAGTACATCCCTTTGACACATATTTTAACAAGTAAACTTTAATTAAATGTACATAAATCAAACATAATGTGTGATAGCTCAAGTTGACGTGAGCAACTAAGGAGTAAGAGAGATGCACTATGATTTTTTTATTTTTTATTCATTTTTTGCATTGGTCAGTTTTCCAATCACTGCTGCAATCATATGCAAAAGCAACATACTTTTAAAATGACTCTCCGCTGGATCATTAAAAAATAGAAATCCTGCTAAATAAACTGATCTCTGTGCTCCCTCAGAGTGGGGGGGCATTAGTATTAAGAGGTTTGCTCTTGTGTTAATACCTTGTTGAAATGAATTTATTGTGTCTGGTATTTTTCTCACCTTCATTTTCATCCATCTGTTGGAAAAGCTCCTTAAACGCTCAGTTTAAATGCTTATCCAGCCTAGCTGTCCTCCCTTTCTCAAGCTTTCTACTTAGCAAAATGGTAAAGATGTTGGTGACTGGGTACTTGCCCTGTTGACCCATTTAGTTGTCTTGAGGCAAGTGTAATCCTTGTAAGATTTTCACAGATCACCTCATAATGAGGTTAAATGCCCTCTGCATTTATTCCACATCTGCACAGCTTGAGTCACCATGGCAGATCCGTGTGAATGAATGCAGAACCCTTGGTGATGAAATACGATGTATCACACTTTAACTAAGAGCACTTCACACAGGATAGGATGAACACCAACAGCCTCATTTGCTCTTAGACATCTCCCTACTTCCTACCCCTTTGTTACCATGGAAACCAGCAGTGGTGTAGAGCAGGCCTTTCCTCTGCAGGCTGGCTCCTAAGTGATGTACGTCTGCTTTTCCTCCCAGCAGTCTGATACAATAATCCAGGCAGGCCGGTATGTAAGCGGCCAGACACAAAGCCAAGTGAGGATGTCAGAAAATCCTGAACAGGACACCACTTATCTGTGACAGACTGTTGAAACCCCCACTGCCATATTGCTGACTTGACAAGGTGTTTCCATAGCAACCTGTGTTTTCCTACTTTGCGTGTCTGTTTAAATGAAGGGGATCCTACACCTACAGACACTTCCTCTGCACCTTGCCTGTCTCTTTTTTGGGAAACAGCTGGGGCTTGAAAAATCCTGTGAAGCTACCCTTTGTTGTAGACCAATTTATACTATAGTGTGTGCGCACACATGGTCAGTGTGTACACACAGAGCTTGGGGCACCAGCAGCCCCTGCTCCACATGGGGCTACATGCTGCATTGTTGAAAGCCGTGGTGTTATAGGAGAACAAAAGATTGAACATCTTACACTTTCATGTATCCTAAATATGCTATTTTGATGTTATTTAATGTCAAGTTTAAATATGTTTTGTTGTTTTCTGCAGACCACATTGGATGTTTTAAATTGAATTAAGTATGTTGTTGTTCAGAATCAATGGGCTTTATTTATAGTGTAGTTAGGGTAAAGAATAATATTGGCTTCTTTTTTTGGGGGGGGGGGTTCCTCTCTGCTCTTGTAGTATTATATCCTGCTAAGACTTTGAGCCATTTTAAATTTTGGAGAATTTAGTCAGGGTTTTCCTGCCCCACATGCAGAGCAAAAATGAAAGGGCTGTCTTTCTTACCCTTTACGCTGTTGTAAGTAATAAGTGTGGTTCAGCCAAGAGAGCTGCCTGATTTGGCAAATTAGAGCAAAAGTCTCACTCCATCGACAAATGTTTACGTTTTTTACCCCTCGGCCTATTATGTTATGTTATGTTATGTTCATTGGTGTCCAAGGAAGCATTTGAACCACAAAAAAACTAAAAGGGCTCCTAAAACTGTTGTAGGTACAGTGGTTGCCTCCGTCCCCAGACCTCGCTCTATGATTCTCTCAGTGTTCAAAGATTCAGTTGTTTGCAAATAATTCTCAACAAACCCTAAAAGCCCCCAAAATGGTATTTAGGTCAGCCCTACCCTTTAGTTGGCTTCTTTCATGAAAACGTTTTAGTCTGATTTTGAGACCAAGAGCTACCAGAGCTAAGCAGTTTTTAGATTCCCGTATGTACAATAGTCATTCCTACTTTGTTTTCTTAACTTTTCCATGTCTCAGACAATACCATGTTAGTTTGTTTGGAAATGTATTTTAGTGTTGTTTGTGTTCATGTAGGTCATTCAGTGGAGAAAGCTCTGAATAGCTCTCATTTGTTATGTTAACAAGCCTAATCTCTGTGCACTTCCATCACCAATTGGATTAAGCTAGCAGTGTGTTGCACAAAGCACTGCTTGAAACTTGTGTGTGTTGTTATATATGTGTTTTGTAATAGTTTTGTTATAGTTTCAGGTGCTGCCTGTGATGTTTTACATAAGTAACAATACTTAGTAGTGGACTTTTACAAAATAAAGATTCACTAGCCAAAGGGAATTTAAGATTCCCTAGTATTTGATTGGATCTAATTAGCACTTTGACCATCGAGGATCAATATTTTGACTTTTAGGCATCAGCTGTCGGCTCGCTGGGTGATGGGATGCCCCTGCTGGGCCTCTTGATTGCATTAGGAGTTGAAGAGCGGGTTTAACATTGGACACCTACTGTGCCGACTGAGAGACTTCAGCTTTGATTAAGCCATTGTGGTTATTTAAAGCTTCACACTTGTTTAAGAACCTCCTGGCCGTACCACTGAAGCCACGGATAGCAACATTATTTAATAAGTCTATTCTGTGTATTCACAGATGTTAGTGGTTGTTAAATAGTAGGACGCTTAGTCATTACTAACTTTTAAAACAATATAGGTGCTGCATGAATGGATGGAAGATGAGTTGTGGATTACTAAAGCATATATAGAAAAGCTCTGTTAAGGCTCCAAAAGAAATGTTTGAAGTGTGATAAACTATGTGACGTGAGAGAACCCTGGAGCGCTATGGCAATAAAGAAGGAGAAAGTCCAAGTGAAGAAACAGAATCAGTTGTGTCTAAAGAGGATCCCAGAAAAGGGACGGCTTTCTAAGGTGTTCCCACCAAAGTGATGACAGTTAAAAAAGCGAACAAAAAAGCAGCAACGCTCCAGCGGAAACAGTGGAAGTTCTGAATATCGTTTCCTCTCAGACACTCGCTGTGACTCAAGTAAGAAAAATAAATAAATAAAACTGTTTTGACATCAAAGTTGATACGAAGAAAGACTAACACACAAAAAGGAGACGGGTGGAAGACGAGAAGCGTCTCGGGCTGTTTCTCATCTCCGTTTGAAATGAGAAAATCCCTACCAAAAAAAACAAAAAACCCCCCCCAAACAATCCAATCCAGATTTTCCTGTGTCTGTGGGATGGTGCGACGAAATTAGCCAATGAATGATGACACCCAGCATTAATATGTAGTTTTTATGATAATTTAACATATGGTGTTATGAGACGAGGAACATTAAAATTAAAAAGTTTAATGGCTGCAACATTTAGTTTTTTTTCCTCTTTCCAAGCAGTTGCATATTTTATAGAAGTGAAATACTGAGTGTTTTGTGGCTTTTAGTGTCTTTGAAAACTGTAAATGATTACCAAAAAAAATACCTCTTGTTCTGCTGCATCGGTGATGATTGTGCTAATTTAGAAAAGTGTATGTTAAAAGAACCCTGCTATAGGTGCTTAGGTTCCGTATAATCATCTACCTAACACTTTGTAATGTTTTATGTTTTGGGAACTTTAAAATTTCTGCCTGTTTGCATTGGAATCTGAAAAAAAATACAGCAGGATTGAACTGCCATGTGCTCTGCTCTTGACTTTCACTCAGAGTGCTCACATGCCCATGATCGATGCCCTGATGATGGCTTACACAGTGGAGATGATCAGCATAGAGAAAGTGGTGGCCTCTGTCAAGCGCTTCTCTACCTTCAGTGCCTCTAAGGAGCTGCCCTTTGACCTGGAGGATGCTATGGTTTTCTGGATCAACAAGGTATAGACACTCATGACCCAGATAAGACGCACAGCAGGATATTATCATCATTATTATTAAACTTTTTCACAACAAATCTTGTTTAGGCTTTTTATCCTCTAAAATCCAGCTGGCTTTATTCCTGGGGCTCTGAATAAAGTGGTCCACTTATGTCATTGATGATTGGATATAGTCCAATAGACAGGAGTCTAGGTCTGTTACACGCACAGACTCAAGTTCATGTTGTAGTTGTCTTTTGAAAGAACATTGTCAGTCTATGGGAGATGGGGGATATAGTCCTAAAATATTTTTTCCACATTAATCTGCCAGAATGCACATTTTGTTTTTATCATCTTGGAAATTTTAATCTAATTATTCTGATATTAACTGTGATATAAATCTCTTTATTCATGAGACTAAGAATATGTTCTTTAGTCTACTAGCGCAATATTTAAATGGTTTACATTTTTTTTGGATTAAATTTCAGAAAAGCAATTTGTTCTAACATTGTCAAGTTTGCGTCAAGAAAATTCTGACCTGATTAGCAATTTCTCACTAGGCAGTTGTTTAATTTTGCTCCAAATGCCTCACTAACTAACTGCTATATCCAGAAAGCTCTTCTCTAAGGTTACTGGCCACTATTAGCATGAAACTTATCGCAAAAAAGTATATGGCAACCTCTTTGCAAATGTTTTGTCCCTAGCATATTGCCGTGGTTATCTATCATTTGTACGGATTACTTACCAAGCTGTTGTGAATTTGTGAAAAGTGCACCGCATACCTGAAACTGAAACAAGTTGCTTTGAAAGTGAAATGTTTTGGTTATAGGCTGGGGTGCAGCTTTTATTTTGAAAGTGAATGTTTTGTTTCTGCCTTGCATCACACTTTTTCAAATTTCACTACAGATGTCATTCAAGCAAACTACAGGCAAGCATAGAAATCTATTTGCAATCAAAATATCCACAAGGAGGTTTTTGTTGCTACATCCTCTTTGTCAATGATTTCATCCACTGTCAGCCAGCAACTCGCGGGAACAATTTTCCAAACAGTAGCTTAATATGCAGTTTCCATTTGCATTCAGTGGTCGCCAGATAGTTGCTAACCGGTTCCTAGCCCTCTATTACCATTCAGTAGTGTGGTTTATTGACTCCATGCAAACATACTAATAATTGTTTTGTTATTCTTTTTTTTTCTTCTGCAGGTAAACATGAAGATGAGGGAGATTGCAGAAAGGGAGCACAAAGTCAAGCACCACCCACTGGAGTCCCCTAGCCATCAAAAGGTAAAGCCACTCAAAAATAGGTTCCTTTATTAGAAATCTCCATGTCTTATCCAGGTGTGTCAAGCAATCACTTGTTTCAAAACAGCAACAGCATCCTTAGCGCTCACATGAATGTTTCTCCCTAATGGCGTTTTGATGTTGTTCTGACCTTCCTCTACTCTTATCTGTTTAAACTGGAAGCAGATCCAATCCTTTTGTCTCTGACCTCTGACGTGTTAATCTTTCTGCTCCTGTTCCTCATCTGTCCCTCCTTCCCCCTTCTCTTATCCCTGCAAACTGGATAGTCTCCCTCCAAATGGTATTGGAAGCTAGTCCCTGTAAGTTGGATGCCAGGCCCCATAACCCCATTTTCTTCCCCCTCTGCCCTTTGCACGCATAGTTCTGTGTTGATGTGTGCGCACACTCCTCCATGGCTCATTCAAGCTCATTACGTGCTACATGTAGCCAGCGTGTCAGCAGGGGGGAGAAGGCTGACAGCTAGTTTGTTTCTTTTTTTCCCCCTTGTGGCAAATATGTCACTAAGGTGTAAGGTTATTCTAACCTTTGTGTCCAAACTTTTTTTTCCTCTAAGCTATGCAGTGTGTGCTATCTCATTTCAAGCTCAAGTAGGCCATGTGGATTCTCTGTGCGCAGATGTGTGTGGTATTTGCTTGCCTAGTGAGAATACGAGAAAAATCCATGCCTACACCTCTCCTTTGCTTTGCAGACCCATTACTGGCCACATTCTCTCACTGATCTGCTTTGTCATTCTCCCTCCAGTTTCTCTCTTCCGCTCTCACGCACTGTTTTCCTATATGCCCACAATCTCCTGACAGTATCTCTGCTCTGTGTATCAGCCTGATGTCATGCACGAGCTGGCCCACTGCATGCTGGGGCCAGAGGAACTCTCCGAAGCGGTACAGTGATCCCTCCTAGTCAGGAGACTCACTAACGTAGAACTTGTCCTGTAGTACAGCTTCTTGTTTGGTTGTTAGTTTCACCCGTGACTTGTGACAACAACTGCCCCAGCATAGTTTTGTGGAATACCCTCCATGAGCGAGATTAAAGTTCATT